CAGGTAATACAGATGTTTCGCGTTAACGTTATCAATGTTTGCACAGAACCTTTGTCATACAGTTTTCTTTCTGCAGTTTCAGAAACAAACTGTGTACAGTGTATTCGTCCCGAGACTTTTGCACGGCGATCGATTGAAAATGAGCCTCGTTTACCATATCCTTTCTCTCTTTTCGCTTCACCGGTGAACGAACCTGAAAACCACGGGTTAAAGGCAGTCAAAGTTATTTCAAGAGGCAGGTCGTTTCGTTCGAAGCCATTTCGCCGTGGTGAACGGCGATTTTGTTACCATAAATTCCCACTTCTCGGGCACGTTAAAATTCCACGATTAGAGGAAGTTCTCGAGGTCGGTGCTAGTTCTCCGCATTGCACGCGTCGACGCATTCATTCTCGAGGGCTCGCGGGTTTCTCCCTTCCTCCTCACCCCCTCGATGTTGCGCATTCGGCGCACGTGGCGTGTGCATTTTTCCGCATGTGCAACATTAGCGAGCGCGACGCGAGTTCTCGCAATGCAGCGGCAATCCCTCCCCGCGGCAGTCACGTAAGCGTGGCTTCTTAATGTGACCGTGCACGAATCTCAGACAAGCTGAGCGAAAAATATAGAAGGAGAGAAGAGAAGAGGGGAAAAAGGACGAAAAAGAGGGAGAGATAGAAGAGAACGAAGGGAGGGAAATGGGACGCAGACGAGTAAAGTAGAGAGGCACGAAGGAAAAGACTGGCGTTGAATTTTTCAACTCGGATATCCACCCTCTTTAATAATAACCACCCTGAACGTTCCGTCTACCAGCGAGTTTCCTTCTCTCTTTCTCTCTCGGTTTATTTTAGAATTTTTTGCGAATTACGGCGGGGAATATTAATTTCAAACGACCGCCGGCCAGGACGTGGAATTGCCTTTTAAAGCGAAATACGCGCGAACATTTCTCGAGACGTTTCCCCACGCATCGTGCCGTTTCGCATCTAATAACGGGTGAAATGAAATCAAACGGTAGCTGACGAAATTAAACGTGCAAATTAACGAGTCCGGGGGAGGGAATTCTTCTTTTTCATCTGATTGTAATATTCAATCGCACGCAGATGAAATGATTTCACGTAATATAAATAACTGTTATTAAGTAATAAAAAATGACAGACGAAACAAATTATAAATTGTCTCTGTTCTTTCTGAAACTTTAATGATATTCATATTTCTGTCACAATATTACACTTAATATATATTATATAATGGTTGATAAATTATATTAATGTATCATATTAACACACAATTTTATATATAATTATAATTACAATTAATATGATATGTTATATATTAATATACAACATATTAACAATTTTATATATAATTATAATTACAATTAATATGATATGTTATATATTAATATACAACATATTAACATACAATTTTATATATAATTATAATTACAATTAATATGATATGTTATATATTAATATACAACATACAATTTTATATATAATTATAATTAACATATTACAACAATATATTAACCTTGAAAAAAACTAACGAGAGCAAACACGAAAGTGCAGACACAGCAATACAAATGTAACGTAGTAAAGAGTTCACGTGCATTCCACGTAAAGAGCACAAACGACAATAATTTTGCAAAATTCTTCGTAAATTACGCATACATACATACATATATATATATATATATACACGCGACATTGCTTACGATACAACCATAAATCGCGTTACATTCACTTTCACCAGGAACAGGCTCGAATTTTTTCGTAGTTTCGACGGTCGTTCGCCGGGCACCCGGGTGGAAACGTGACGATAAGAGCGAATCGACGCGACTCCGACGTCCATTATGATTTTCCGCTTCGTTATCCCGGTTAACGATTTCGAATTTGAACGAAAATTGAACCGACGACGACGACGACGACGTATTACAGACGTGTTCGTTGATTCATCATCCCGTTTCTTCTTCTTTTCTCTCTCTCTCATGCGTTCGACGTAATCAACTCGATTTAGAGCCGCGTGGTAATTAAGATGGTTGAAGGTCGTTAGCCGTTCCAGCGCGCGGTAGTTAGCCAGTGGCGAAAGATTAATCTTGGTTAAGTGTTAAATTGGCGAATTGTGGCTGGCTTGTTCTAACGACAGCGCGATTTGTGTAACGAAGCCGTGGGTAACGTAATCGCCGTGGCGAGTTGCGCAATATTTTCTCGTCGATGTTATCGCGAAGGCGGTTTCCGTTTTAAAACGCGCGCGGGAAACGTCTACTTTTATTAATTAATTGCTGCGTTAAATCGTAATAACTCACCGTTAGCAGTACGCCTGGTACGATTCGTGTTTCCATCGTTGCCGTCACGAGGCTTTCGAGACGCGCCGCTGGTTTCCTTCGTATCACGCCGAATTAACTTCCCACGTAATCGCCGATCCATCTGTTTCGTACCTTTGTTACCTTCCGCCAGAAGTATTATTTACTGAAACGCGAATGCACCTAATTGAGAATAGGCTGGAATTTTTATTTTTCGCGTACGGTTCAGCGTGACTGATCGTGGCGTTATTTTAACTCTCAATTATTGGATATTATTGAGTCATCGCAATGATACTATAACTATATCATTTGATTTCGAGATTTTTAATTTAATGATATATTTGGATCTTAATATAAGATACAAAATCAAGTCAAATGTAAAGTTATTTAATATAAATTTTTGTAGTTATTCGTAATCAACGTTGCTTTCAGGGTTGATATTTTTTTTTCTGTCACTTTCACTTTGCGTTAAAAATCGTTACAGTTTCATGTCCTTGTTATCTCCCGCGAAAAATATCATTTATTGAGAAACGAATGTAATTGGAATTTTATTTTTCGTATTCGGTTTAACGTGACATCGTTGTTTTAATCCCCAATCATTACTGATTACTATAACAATTTATGATTATATTATATAATAGTGAAATTTTTAATTTGGATCTTAGCCTAATTTCTTAATCGAGCAAAATCAAATCAAATGTAAAGTTTAGTAGTCTAATATAAATAATACTAATATAGATAATATAAGTATTATTATATAATATAATATAGATATTATTACATATTATATAATATAGATAATATAAGTATTATAATATAATAGTCTAATATAAATAATACAAATTTTTATAGTCATCTGTAACCAACGATACCATTCAAGGGTTGATTGCTTTCAAGACTGATATTTCTTTTTTAATGATATTTTGTCACTTCAAAATTGAAAAATTATAAAATTTCGTCTTTATGGATTCTTCCTCGAAAATGATACTTTACGAAGTGTTTCTTGATATGCAAATGTAGCGAAATGAAGGAATTGACGATCTCGAATTTTCTTCTCTAAATTCACACAGATCTTGTTTCGTTATTCGTCGGAGAAGTTAATTTCGCGCAAACACGAGCGCAAGATATAGATTTATACGAAGAGGCGAGAAGGCTGGTCCGGTGTTCGTGAAGTCGTGGCAGCGATCGGGTTCGATAGGACGTCCCTCGGTGTATTTATAGTGGGTCGTGTGCATTGGCTGCAGTCGAGCAATGTGCACACTGTTCGTAGGAATCGCGGAGCGGAGGCGAGCGTGCGGTCGCATACTTTGACAGGGACACGGCAGGTGAGCCGTGAAAATGGAGCTTTCAATCATATTACCAATATCTAACATTTGCCTGTCCGGTTACGTTGGCACGTACAGCCAATTAGCTGCGAATTTTGCCACACAAAGCCCTAAATCAATCGATCATTCCACGTTCATCGAGAAATTTCCAATTTCAGCCGCTGATAAAGAATACCTTTACGTTCCATTTGTGTTCACTTCAATTGTCGCGAGTAAATTTTCGAATTTTCAAATATTGAAATCAGTCTTGAATTTTAAATTCTAGGTTTTCGAAATTCAGTTGAGATTTTTTTACCAACGTGTTAATAACAAGAATGTTTAGGTTTCGTTTCTTGCAAATTGGTAAATTGCAAGATTTTGGTATTTTGTATTATTACATAGAGTTACATTTTTATTTTACATTATTATATAGAGTTAATTGATATTTTATATTATTGTAGAGAGAGAGAGAGAGAGAGAATTCGAAAATTATTTGTTCAATGGGTAAATATTGAATGAGATTTGATGTTACCTCGCTACAGATGATCGACTTCATTTTTTTTTTCTTTTTGTCAAATAGTTTAAAACTGTTGGCTTGAAACGTTTCCGCGATTCGAGGCGTGCACAGAATCGTCACAGTATAAATCTCGCGTACCCACAGGTGTACTTCCGACACGAACGTGCCATAACTTCGTACGCGTCCCGCGTTACGATACGTCGTTTTCCATCTCTCGATGGAATTTCCAAGTTTCGCCGGTAGAAGAAGTCACACGACCAAGAAATTTCCAAGGGAAATATTTACTTTTGTATGCAATGGAATCTTTGGGGAGAAATCGGGTGAAAAATTTAATTTTTAACATAGTAGAAAGAGAGAAAGATAGAGAGAGACGTTGGACGATTGAACAAGATTGTTTATCGACCCTGATAAAATATTTTCTTATCTACTGATCTGTTTCTATTTATTGATTATACTATATATATATATATATATATATAATAACATTTTAATTAAGAGTCTCTGAGAATTTAGCACCAAACAAACGAACCAAAAATTATTTAACAAAGGAAACAATGAGAACGTGACTTTCTCTCATTGTCAGATCAACAATTTTGAAACACTTAGTGCTAAACTCTTAACAAGAAGATGGTTTCAACCCTCTTCTGGAAATGTGTGGAAAAACAAAAATTAGGCAAAAATAGAAAACGATGAAAATTGTAACTTCACTTGCTTTAGTCAGACAACCGCATTACGCAGTAAACGCAGAGTAAATGGAGGGCGGTTTGTAGGGCCTTTTTCTGCGAACATAATCCGCGTTTGCTGGAGTCAGTGTCTTCAGACAGCCGCGCCGGAAGCGTGGTAGGACGAGCGTGCACTGGCTGGAGGCGAAGTCGGCCTAGATGCATCGGTTCCGAGTGAAACGGCACGTGAAACGGGAAGTGCGTTTTGACGCGGTGGCGGGGGCAGTTTGCATCGATAAAACGGAACCGAGCGACCCTCGGTGCGGCCTCGGTGCATATGTACGTTCGCGAGATGTACCGGAAACATGCTGTCAGGTACTCGTTTCGCGCCCGATGGCGATGGGCCGTGGTTAATCGGCAGAGGAATTCATTATTCCGCCACGTGTCCCTCGCTGTTTATTTATTTTTGAAATTAGCTACGCGACGAAGTATAATATAACTTGGAGAAGCAATTTATTCGTCTGTCGATGTGTGATTAACATTTAGTTTAGTTGGATTGGGAAAATTCCTCGAGTAAAGTGTGAAGAATTCATAATTTATTTTAATTTAATCTATAAAATGTTGACGTAAAATATGAGTACGCTCTGACTGAATTTTTTTCATTCTCATACAAAATTTTGAATATTTTGAGGTATTTTTTAAATAGTTCGTATTTTTGATATTTCAAAGTTGGAGTGAATATCGAGAGCTGAATATTAGAAGTTACAAAAATATTAAAATAATTTCTGACGTGTTACAAAAACTGTTTCGAATTCTGCTATTACATTTTGCTCGTTTCAATTCGTTCGTTGTTTAAAAATTATCGTATTCCAATCCAATTTGTTTGAAATAACGAAATATCTTCAGTTGTCTTGTACACGTCGGAATTCGTTCGTTCATTTCCTTTAGCTTTTTTATTTTTATTTTTTCGCCAAACAACGAATAATAATATTAGTGTACTATATTACGATAGATACGTGTAATGTTTATTTATCTTCAACCTCACACAATCGCCGATGACATTTCTTAACCTTTCTTTGACTTTTTCGTCTTGAATTTCACAAAGCAGTGTTCAAGTATCGTAACGTTTATACAAAGCCACTGTTGAAACTTGTACGAAAAATTCCGTCAATATCCTGATAGTTAATTCATAACATCAAATATCAAAGTTCTGTCAATTTTCTTATAGCACTTTATAACATCCTGTACACAGTTTTTCAACAACTTTCTCGTACAACATCGTTGATCTATCATTTATTCTTAAAAGGTTTATATCTTTAATAACCTTAATCTATCAGATCATTCCTTTTTCAACAATATCCCATTAATGTATCTAATCCTTATCATTCGCTAAGTGATACACAAATCAGAAAATTAATAAAAATCCACTCGCGTATTCTTCATATTTCTACTGCAAAACATCCGCTATTCGGTCTATTCGCATCTGTAACCACGACAACTAAATAACCAATATCATTCGTTCGTAAACTACATACCACTTACATATTTTCAAAAGCTTTCTCCGAATCTATCGACTGTTTCTTTCTCAACTGACCAATCGAATGACATCCAGAAATAAAAAAAAAAAAAAAAAAACTCCATTCAACGTACATATTCTCCGTGCAATTACATCTACTTAGATTCCCCCCCCGCAATTTGCATAAACATCCGTAGCCTGTTAATCGCGCGTTCCCTCAGCAAATCTCCAATTTGCCTTCCGTTCTCCGTTGTCGCCGTCGCCAGTGCCCCTCGGGCGTACCTGCGCGTTCCTCTTCCCCCGTAATCAGCATACAAAGTGTCTCTTTTGCAGAAGCTGCCCGACGTGGTACGTAGTCGCAGCATCCATTTTAATCGAGCGCGAAGTAGCGAGAGCCCCGGCATCGGCCTCGCTCTGTGTAGTTAGGTCTCGTTCAATATTTACAAACGGCAGGTTTATTCGTAGCGGGTGCACACACCTGGAGCCGCGTCGTGTTCCCACCTACCGGTGCACCACGGTCGTGTACGTTGGCGCACCTGAGTGCACCGAGAGGTCAGGCATGCCCGCTGTTTCCGCGAGGCTCGCCCGGTGAAATATCACCACTGCAGTGTGGCCGCAGCGGCTGTGTTGTTCCCCGCTTCTCGAATGGCCGCGTGTCCTCCTATTGCCGATAGCCGAAGGAAAACTCGCGTATATCGCGGCAAGGGGATGCTTGACCATCGACCGGATGCTTCCCAACGCTTTACGACCCTCCTCGCGCGCTTTACTGCGTGCCCTTTCGCCTGACCTTATTTCTCTCGGGAGCCTTTGCTTCCTTTTCTTTCTCTCCTCTCCTCTCGTGCCTTGCGTATATACGTTGGATGTTGTTGAAAAAGTGCGTGGAAGAGTTATGTTTCTGTTTCTGTCATGTTTCGGCCATTCGTTCATGTATCTGACATTTCCGACGAAACGATAGTGGAATCGTAGTTGTTACATTGGTGGAAGGAATCAAGGGTTTTTGATTTTCAGATTGCTCGTTGGCCGTGAGAAGATTGTTTGGTACAACTTGAGGAATTAGTGTTTTTTGGATGTAAAGGTGGTAGATGATGGAGGAATCCAAAGAATTTTGCATAATTCATAAATGCATAAACGGCAGGATCACACGTCTAATCTGTAATTCAAATAAAATAGCTTAAGCTAGAACGTATCATCTTTCGTCTCTGAAATTTTTATTCAATTCTTCTCATCATGTCACGGAGTGACATAAATGTGAGATAAATTCGTCAAATTAAGTTGAAACTTAAAAAGAATTAAATTAAAAACCTAAGACAAGATTGTTTGTAACTTAAAAAACAAATTCAGAATTTTGTCATATTTCATAAATACTCCTCACCTTGTACATACAGATTTTGTCTTTGTTTCGCTTTTTAAATAAAGTCGTATATTCTCATTTGTCTCCCAGGGGGAGAGACCACCTCCTTTATTAAGACAACGTGACTTTCATCGCTATCGTAATTTAGTCAGCGGGATTCACCCTTTTACTGCTTCGTTTCAAACAGCGCTGTGTTTAATTATACAAAAATCGATTCCGGAGTGTTCGCAGAATTGCATCTGGCAATGATTGTTGGGGTTAAATTATTGGAATTGGCCCTGATTTTGAATAGCGGTGAGATAGGTGAGTTAGTTTTGAATAGCTTGAGATAAATGTTTTACGAGATTTTAAAGATTTTTAAAGGAATGAAGTTAGGAATTTGGGAGGAATTTCATTTGTCCATTAACTTTTGTCTTTATGGTATTGTGATTTTTAATTAATTTCTTCAAACCAATAAATAAAACTAAATAGATCTGATAATTGTTTCATTTAATAACTAAGTGAGTGATCACATTTTTGTGAGATTCACTTTTTTGTTATAAACACATCTATATCAACGTTTATTGACGAAATGGAGCATCTATACAAGATGTAGCATATTTTTATAAACTACAGATAAGAAGATGGATATTAAATATTACAACAAGTACTTTATTTTGAACATTTAAATCTCTTTAAATCTCTCACAGATACACAAATACGCAAATACACATGTAGCATACGTACAATATAACATAGCAACTTCAAAATGTCTAACGAGATTCAGTAGAATATACACGTTTTGGTCAGCCATCACAACACGCATATTAGAACATCATGATCGGCCAGCAATTTCATCACATTCACAATTAAACTTTATGGAACAAACAACAAGGTATAGTTATAAATATCTATACAACAGCCATCTTTTATTCCCTCATATTTCGTCGATAGAAGAAATACAAGAGTTACAACTTTTACATGAACGTATTCCGAAAAATTCATGCTCTCGTCTCTCGGCTTCTCTTCCGTTATTCAAACTTGAAGGGAAAATTATTTATCGGATAACGGACGAAAGAAGAATCTCCATCGATTCATTCATCAACGAGGCTCGTTAATAAAGAGGCCCATGATCGACGATGACGTGTTTGTCGCGAAAGGATGACGGTAAAGGCCCTGTGGCTGTGTCGCGTGGCGGTGAACGAAGAAATTATATTTAGAACGTTCGATAGAATCACCACGCCGGCGGGGTAATCGTTAATTGATGCGCGAAAACTCGACGACGCCTCGTCCTGATCGTCGTCGACGCGAGCCCGATCGTTCTCGCCGGCTGGGTTTCGTAACATTGGACGCGATTCGTCGCGTGTCGCGTAATCCTCTAACGAGAAAGAGAATTTTCTCACCACCAAAGATTTCACTTTCTTTCGTGGCTCATTGGAAACGACACGCTCTCGTTAGCGAAGTTAATAGAAAAATTTCAGCGTGCAGTTTCGTTAGCTCGATGCTCGATCGTTTTCTGCTTCATTCTCCCGTTTTAATCATTCTATTAACCGTTCGAACGAGCACGGATCATTACGTATGAAATTGAATCTCTTCGACAATTATCGTCGACTGTAATTGGTGAAATTTTTCATCGTTCGAGTGGAGATCGATGCTGGCAGCTTTAATTTTTGTTCCATTCAATTCAATTTTTTCTCGAAAAGAGGTTTCTTTTTATGTTATTCAATAACACTTATTGCTCGTGAAAATATTTGGAAATTTGTAGATAGCTCTGCGTGTGTGTGTGTGCGTGTGTGTTATATGAAACTTGTATAGAAATTTCATTGGCATCGTGTTGCGAGACTCAATTATCATGATTATATCGGTCAAGTTATTGATCACTTTACTTAATTAAATTATGAAGTTGTGGCAAAGAGTTTTGCAGAGCCGGGATTGTCAAATTTTCATTTGTGAATTTATTTTTATTATTTGAAATTCCATCATTTTGTGAATTTATTTTTATTATTTGAAAATTCTAAAAATTCGATAAGGGTCGTTTCTTTTGCGAGCTCCCCATTTTCTTCGTTCGTTGATACGTAGGTCAAATGCGAGATAAATTTCTGGCAATCAGCCCTTCTTTCTTACCCTCTGTTCTATGTACATACATACCCAAGTGACAAATCGTTTTCTTCGTTGGACGATTCAATTTGCTCCCGGGGGTGATTGATAGACGACTGTGAAAAACGAGGCAGGTCTAGTCCCACCCTAAACATCATGTGAAAACAAACGGTTCAATCGATCGATGCGAGATTCGCGCGAGATTCCGTTCACTCTGCAATCAGACCGGTAATCCATTTCACATAGAAGAAATCAGAAACGATCGAAGAAATTCTCTGCTAATCTTCGCCTGGTCGGATTTCGAGCTTGATTGAAAAAATCTAAACCAAAAGAAAAAAAAAAAAGAAAGGGAAGAAAGGGATAAAAAATCCTCAAGAGGGATGAAGACCGACGGAA